TAAAAAAGGATTTTCTAAAAAATCTCCATAAAAAATAAAATGTTTGTGATTTTTTTTTTTAAAAAAACTATCAAATGCAAAAAATACAAAAAAGATAAGAAAATTAAATATATTTTCGCATTTTGTTGTATTCAATGAATTTTTTAAAAAATTTTGTACAAATTTCTTACTTTTTAATTATATTAAAATTAAATGAATCTAAACATTAAATTTTTTTTAAAAAAATCATTAAAAATATAATCGAATTGAAAATTTAAAAAACTATTTTTAAAAATTGAAAATCAAACCGGATGAATAATTTGTTATGTTCCTAATTCAGGACCACCGCGATTCAAAGGATTTCTTATGATGGCCATCCTTTGTTCTCTTCGTGTACACTTTTAATTTTAACAATAGAAGTTAATTTAATAAAGTAATTAACTCTACTTCCTTGATTTTTTTCCTAGTAAACTCATTAGAGTCCTTTTTAAAGATTTTGTAAGTTTTTATAAATAAATTATTTTTAAAAAATTAGATTGACTCAATAATTATAGTCTATGAATTTATCACATTTATTTAAAAAAACAAAAACAAAGAAGATTTTAGAAATAAACTATGTAATTTCTTAAGAAAAAAATCTAGGCCAAAGTGTTAGTTATGCCATTTTAGTGTATTTTAACAATATTTTCATATTCAGTTTTATTATAGGTATTGGTTTGAAGTACCATAATATCTTCTGTACCATAAAATAGCCTAGGGATGTCACTATCTCCTGGACTATTCATTCCATCATTGTTTATGAAGGATATAGTTTCTAATTTTGTCACTAAATTGTTTATTTGATTTTTTGCTTCTTTATTTAAGTCAATATTTATTATAGAACCCAAATTGTCTATTTTAGATTCTATAGACTCAACTTTAGTCTCTAGATAATTTTGATTTGTTTTTTGATTTTTATCTAATTTAGAAAACCAAGAACACATAACATCAGTAATATTATTTAAACTAGAACACACACTATTTATATTTGCAGATTCTTTAGTAATATGTAGACTATGATCATATTTATTATTAACATTATTTTTTGTATTTCCAAAGCATATTATATCGTCAGAATTAATTGCCATTTTAGATTGTTGTTGGTACCTAAGACCCTCCTAGTGTATTATCTGGTGCCTAAAACCTCTCTTTATGATCTTGAAGACTTAATTATGGCCAATTGTCAAAAGATCTTAATGAGTATATGGGCTTTGACATATACTAAGTATATAGGTTTTACAACAACTAAAAATGAAACAAAAAATTATAAAGATATAAAATACCAAGGATGCACAAAAAACTTAGACGGAATTTTTGAATAATTTTTTTTTTTTTTTTTATAACATAAAACACACCATTCAAACTTATATATATTAAAAATTTATACGTAGATAGAAATACTTACATAGCTTGATCTTGCTTTCAAAAGCTCTTCACCAAGCTCTGATACCAATTACTAAACTAAAAAGGAAAGGAGCTTTTTACTTATGGAAATATGGTGGAGTTATAGAATAAGAATAGAGAAGCAAAAAGATGGAGATAATTTGGAGAGAATTTACATACCCCATTATGTTGGCATAAAGGCCAATATATAGTCTTACAAGAAGAGAATACAAACAAAATAGAACTTATTGCATATCTAACTTATATCTAACTTTGTAAGACTTTTTGTCTTAAAAGTTGTCAATTTTTATAACTAGTTAGGCAAGCCTAGTCATAGGCTTTTTGAAAAATCTATCTAAAAGTAAATACAAAGAGACAAAAATAAAGACAAAAGGACTACAATTATTTGCTCTAAGGAGCAAATCCATATTACTCAATGGCTTTCATGCTCTTATCTTTGTCCTTTTGAATTTTATTGGTTCATAGGATTATTTTAATTGACATATATAATCTCATGAACTAATAAAATTAAAGAGGACAAAGAAAGGCGTACGGAAGGAGAAACTAGTGATATAAACTCCAACAAATGATGGGTCGTTTTTAAAAAATTTGCTTGAAAACAGTCACCAATCAAATTTTCTGATTGTTTCGAAAAATGAAAACAAAAAATAGAAAGCAAATCACAACCAAACAGGCTCAAAAACAATAAATCGTGAAGAGAGAGAAATACGGAAAACGAAGAGGAGAAGCAACGACATCAGCCCAATGAACCTCATTTCCATTTTTTTTTTTTTTTAAAGTTCTTACACATTTGTTATCTCATTTACAAGTGATTTGCAAAAAACAAAAGAACCAGCTTTTATAGTAATACCAAGCATTGTTATTTATAGTAACACCATTGATGTGATAGGTCTAGCAGTTGTCACTTTCATTAGGAACTAATATTAAATGGCTTTTCCTAGCTAAATATTAATGTCTACTTCTCAAAAATGAGAGAAAAGAGCTCTAGATAGATATGGCTGATTTGATTGGCTTCATGAGATCTGAAGTCATTTCACTTTTTAATAAAATTAAGATTTACTTCAAGATAAATTCTCACTAATATTATAGCATTAATATTCTACAACCTCATTGCATATTTGTCTTGATCCAAAGTCTTACCCATTGACTATCAATAGGATTTTGTTATTTTAAAAGCAATCTTGTGCTAAATGACTTTGAACCCCCATCTATCTACCTTGAAATCTTTAGTAGTTTGCTCATTAAACTAAAAATATTTATAAATTAAAAATTGCTAGATGAAAAAGATCTCCTCCCCTCCCATCTCCGATTATTATATTTTGGTTTGAGAGTAATTGTTATATTTTGATTTAAAAGTAATCAATCGATGTCATGCATCTCTAAGAGGGCTAGATCCACCCAAGTACAAGAGTGATCCCACATGACGGTCAGACACTAGGACATAGAACCCAAACACTTTTGACAAGAAATCCAAGCCCCTACCACCTCATTACAAGTTTTACAATTTAGTATTTTTGCTATAATGATACCAAAAAAATGTCAAAAGTTTGGCTCGCTCACTTTAGCGAGCTTGGAAAAGCTGAAAATTGAGCTATGTACATGAAATTAAGGACAATGCTGAATAAGACTTGAGAGTTTGATTCACATCTCCATCCTTAGTTCATTGCAAAATCAATAAAAAGGCCTTGGCAAATATATTCAATACATATTGGAGAATTCTATTCATTGAGTTAGCAGTGTTCACAGTAAACTTATGAAACTAAAACAACCCTCACAAAACAACGTAGATATTTGAAAACAAAGCATAACAAACAGTACAGTTCAGAGATTCTACTATTGCTTAATTTTCCACTTATGGGCGGACCGAGGCGCAGTCTCAATGCCCTTGTAGTATCGGGATTCAAGCTCATGGCTGTTCCAGTCCTTGACAAAATGTGAAAACAGATCATGTGCAGACTCTGACGAAAGATCTGAGAAAAACATGTTTTTCTCTTCCTTCAGCCATGTTGCAAATTCATTGTTCTTAGAGAAGTAGTCATCCATAGACAGCACTTGGAAATTTAGTTTCTGAAACCACCCCACCAAAAGAGAGAATAGAGCAAAAATTAGGGAAACAATATGCACATCCAAAAATAAATATGTTAATAATAGAAATAATATCCTCACCACCCAAAGTTTCCGGTAGTATAACCAAATAAAAGTGTAAACAAGAGAAGACACTAGTGAGTGTTAAATGACTCAAGTTTATCCCAAAAAAAATTAACACGTTAATCCATGAATGAATTAAAACAAAGGTGTATTCCATTGCATTTGGTATTCCATCTTAATCATGATTGTCCGGACCCTACTATGTTGATTTTATTTTTATTTTTAAAAAAAAAAATCCTTTTTCTTTCAGATCAATTGAGGGAAAACATATAAGAACTTTCACACCAATGTGCTCCCCTGACATCATTGCCAGTGGTTGTCTCAAACCACCCCTTCGTATCATAAGGCATGACTTAAACCTAGCCGCATAGCCTTGCCAGGCCCCATGGACAAACTCTCCTACAAAGACCCTACCTCTCTTCTGGGCTTCTTCCTTGCTACAATTCTCTCTCTCTCTTTACTCTAAGGCTGCCTCAAATCTCTCTCTCTCTCCCCATCTTTGGTGGTCTTGGGCCATCTTAGTGTATACTATGATTATCAGAGGACCCATGGCCCGTCCAAATCACAAACGACCACCCACACACATTAAAAACAACAAAATGAGTAATCAGATTAATAGTAAATGATAAGACCAGCCCTAATATTCCTGTAGTTCACTGCCTTAGATGCAGTAATGCAAAAATATAAAACCAAGATTATCTGGAGCAATAAGTAAAAGACTAAAACACAAGCAAACAAAACAAACTTTGACCTGACACTATTAACATGGGAACAAATTACAGCTTACAGCATTTTCAAGGGAATACTAAATAAGAAAACTCACCGACTGATCATCATGCTTGCTTCGTTTACTTTTCTGCTTCTCTTTTGATTTCTTTTCTGGAGCTATATCAGCAAATCAGTATAATCTCAAATTTTATCAAATCCTCATTTTTAGTAACATTTGTAGAAATATCATCACTTTTGGAGCTATAACTCTCAAACTAGAATCCAAACTACAAAAAGAATATAACTGAAATTGGATACCAGATCAAACCAGCATGGAACAGGGGAATACAAAACCTCCAGTTGCTTAACTTATGAAAGGAGAGACGATCAATATTTGAAAATTTAACAAATCATCTAGATATATGCACACATGTAGCTTCATGATAGAGTGAGCCGAGTCTCAGGCAAAATGAATTATAATAAGTCAGATGTCCAAATGCCATTTTTCCTAGTTGCGTTGGAAAACAATGTTTAGTGGGCATCTACAAGATCAGTATCACCACTAGTCTTATAGCCCATATTTCCAAGACACTGTCGGGAGTTTAGCTCGGTGTATAAGAAAAGAGAAGGGATGAAATATATGCCCCGACCTTACCCCTCAAGAACTTTAGGAAAAAATTATAAACCCTGTTCACTATTAAATGACATTCATTATGGTTGCTTTCATTTGCAAGTTGTGAGGCAGAAACATGCAAGTTTTGGAGGATATAGACAAAAGGTGGAGGCAGGCGGGGCTGCGTGGCTGGTGATGGGGCTGCAACCTCAAGTAAATCCAATGGCCCTCATGAAACAATCTCTTTGTTCTATGGTTGTCCACCAATTATTTCATGCGATACTAGACTTTCTGTAAGTGATCTTTAATTTAACCAACTTTAGCATTAGATCTCGATCATGTAGCAGGATATCTGCAGCCCTAGATTTAATTCTTCAGGCAAATATTGTTGAACTACAGGAGGAGACTGACCAAATGACCATACAAAGCCTCTCAAGGGGTAGAATTTGGTTGACACATGCGCTCAAGGAACCCAATTCTTAGGCCTGTCAATCACCTCTCCATACCATACACATACATCTGCGGTAGGTTTCCAAACATCTGTTAATGAACTTTGTTTGTCCAAAATGGACTGGTGAAAATTGGGTATCTATTTTAAACCCTAGTACCAAATACAATTCATTTGATTTTAGAAAGGAATACCCACCCACTTCGGATTTAAAACACACTATGAATAAAAAGTAGATTAAAAAAGAAATAAATAATCAACAAAAAACAAACATTGTCCTCCTGCAAAGTAATATACTACATATGAATCTAAAAATACATGACAAAATTAAAAAATTAAAAAATAACCTTTATCAGTACGGTGTTTGGAAGACCTATGAGAATTCTTGCTCCTCTTGGATTTGTCTTTCTTTTTGGTCTTACTGCTCTTGGCTTCCTCTTCTTCTAAACTTCTACGTTTTTTTCTTTTCCTATCATCTATCAAATTCCAAAGAATAAACCCTAAATAAGTAAAAAGATTGCAATTGCAGAAGATACACACACATGCACATCTCTCAAATCGAATTATCATTCACCAATTCAGGAGAATGAGTCTTCGATTGGGAGATAAATATTCCCAGGAACCAAACACTACCGAAAGAATTTAGAGAGAGAGAGAAAGTGAAAAACCTCCAGAGTCGTAAACGGAGCTTCTCTTCTTCTTCTTCTTCCTCTCCTCCTCCTCCTTGGAACTCCTCTCGCCGCCCATCACCACCGCCTTCGATTTTCCGTCGAGAACAGAACGAACACAGACGCTAGGGGAGAGAAGAGAGAGAGAGAGAGAGAGAACAGACTTGGATGGGCTTGGGCCTGGTATTGGGCTTTCTCACAATTCATGCGATCATAGGCTTGGGCTTTAGAAGGCTTCTTTTCTTTTTGTTATAGAAAGAATAAATTGAAAGGTCGTTGAATGAGTTCTAATGGGCCTGTCTTTATTATTAAAATGATTGGGCTGGTCAGATTTTTTGAAATTCAACCCACGTTTTAGTGACCCGTTTGTTTTATTTTGGGTTGTTTGTCGTTCATTTTATTTATTTATTTATTTTTAAATTTTTGTAAAATTGTTTAGTGTAACTTATGCTATTATTTCACCTAATCATGATATGTTTTGTTATTTTCAGTATATTGGAGCTTTTTGTGTGTAATTATATATCTTTTTTGGGTAATTAGTATATTGGAGCTACTCAATTAAATAATTATTTTTGCTCGTGCACGTTAAGTTCATTACGCGTTCATTCTCATGAATAAATTACATTAATTAAGGGGAAAAAAATCTTGGCCATCAAAAATATGATAGGTATAGCATTAATTATTTATATGTAATTATTAAGTTTTGGTTCCAAAATTATTTCCTTTATTAAAATAATATCTTAAAATGCAAAAATTATTAATTTGACACCAATTGATACACATGTGAAGGTAGATCTAGTAATTTGTTGTAAACTAATGAAAAGGTAATTAAGCGTAATAAAGTTGTCACTTTTTTGGATAGATTTGTTTTAATTTGACACATTCAATCATATCTTGGTAATTAACTTTATACACAATACTCTCCTTGTGAGAGGTTAAAAGATTAAAAAAAATGAAAAGTTAATTTCTTGATTTCAAAAACATTACACCGCGACTAATACCAATAAATTAATAAAATTAAATTTTTTCCTTATTTTACAAATCTCATATAAGGTATACTATTTATGAGACATAATGCTGGATCATGTCTCATAAATTAATAAATTAAAATTGTTTAGTGTAACTTATGCTATTATTTCACCTAATCATGATATGTTTTCCTTATTTTACAAATTTCATATAAGGTATACTATTTATGAGACATTATGCTGAATCATGTCTCATAAATTAATAAATTAAAATTGTTCGGTGTAACTTATGCTATTATTTCACCTATCATGATATGTTTTTGTTATTTTCAGTATATTGGAGCTTTTTGTGTGTAATTATATATCTTTTTTGGGTAATTAGTATATTGGAGCTACTCAATTAAATAATTATTTTTGCTCGTGCACGTTAAGTTCATTACGCGTTCATTCTCATGAATAAATTACATTAATAGAGAAGTGAGAGAAATGAGATAGACCAGAGAGAGAAGACAGAGACGAGAGAGAGGTGAAATAGAGAGAAGAGAGAGAGAGAGAGAGAGAGAGAGAGAGAGAATAGACTTGGATGGGCTTGGGCCTGGTATTGGGCTTTCTCACAATTCATGCGATCATAGGCTTGGGCTTTAGAAGGCTTCTTTTCTTTTTGTTATAGAAAGAATAAATTGAAAGGTCGTTGAATGAGTTCTAATGGGCCTGTCTTTATTATTAAAATGATTGGGCTGGTCAGATTTTTTGAAATTCAACCCACGTTTTAGTGACCCGTTTGTTTTATTTTGGGTTGTTTGTCGTTCATTTTATTTATTTATTTATTTTTAAATTTTTGTAAAATTTTTAAGTGTAACTTATGCTATTATTTCACCTAATCATGATATGTTTTTGTTATTTTCAGTATATTGGAGTTTTTTGTGTGTAATTATATATCTTTTTTGGATAATTAGTATATTGGAGCTACTCAATTAAATAATTATTTCTACTCCTGTATGTTAAATTTATTACACGTTCATTCTCATGAATACATTACATTAATTAAGGGGAAAAAAATCTTGGCCATCAAAAATATGATAGGTATAGCATTAATTATTTATATGTAATTATTAATTTTTGGCTCCAAAATTATTTCCTTTATTAAAATTATATCTTCAAAATAAATAAATAAATAAATAAAATAACTCATAGAAGGGTAAGAGTAAAATGCAAAAAATATTAATTTGACACCAATTGATACACACGTGAACGTAGATTTAGTAATTTGTTGTAAACTAATGAAAAGGTAATTAAGCGTAATAAAGTTGTCACTTTCTTGGATATATTTGTTTTAATTTGACACATTCAATCATATCTAGGTAATTAACTTCATACACAATGATGTCCTTGTGAGAGGTTAAAAGATTTAAAAAAATGAAAATAATTTCTTGATTTCAAAAACATTACATTCAAAAGATTAAATTACTTTAAAAAGAATTGATTGGTAAAATAAAAGTCAGTTAATATTTTCTTTCAACAATTTTTTTTATCCCATTTTAAAATTAATCTAGCCTAGAGAAGACTTTTAATTCCTTTCTATCCTTTCCCATTAACCTAGTAAACTTCCAATCTTAAAAATAAATATAATAAAAAAAAACTAGTAAATTCTTTTTATGTTATAGCATTAATTATTTATATGATAGGAAGTATTTTTGCAAGGTTCACGTATTTTTCATAATCTGTATATATTTTACTTGTAAGTATTTATGTATAGTATTCTTAACAATTAAACAGATTTTTAAAGGGGGTAAAGTTAAAATAATTATAAGTTGAAGACATGGAAAAATCTAGTCCTCTGTTGGCAAGTAAAACTTCATCATCATGTGAAAATGAAATGGGGAATGTTCAAGAAACCATGAAGAAGAGAGTTTCACCGCCAATAGTTTCAATTGGAAAAGGGTGGTGCAATAGTACTAGAGGAGTCAAGATTAAACCTTTATGTAATGATGTAACAGTGACTATCATGAAATCTACAAAATCATGATGTAACAGTGACTATTATGAAATCTACAAAATCAAACCGCCGAGGTGATCAGTCTTTCAGTTACAGCCCCATAAGTTATTCTGGCAACTTTGACGAGGGTAATTCAGACCAAGACCATCTGAATTCTCCCTGAGTTGCCTCTAACACTAGGTTTCTTGCGAAGGATGAAAAATGATCACTCCCGTATACTTAATTTTAAGAGCTAATACAATATGAATGAATAACTATACCCTAAATAATTTTGCAAATGTTGACAAATTCTTATCTCTGCATTTTTCTTTACTTTCCTTTTTAACGAATCTAAATGTATACCAACAACATACTTTTATTCATGCTTTTTTTTTTTCCTTTTTAAATACATCAAACAAATTGATGATATAAGAAGGAATACATATTTATACGTGATTTTGTTCTTTCTGATTGTTAGTTATTATTAATTGTGATTGGTAGAAAAAAAATTATTCCTCTTTGACATTTGTAAAGTTTCTAAATGCTATTTGGAATTTTTTTTATATTTCTAAATATTATTTTTCAATTAATTTTTGTCGGTTAGTTCAAGGTTATATAAATTTTCTTTTAAAACTAAATTTATGTATTTTTATTATCCATATGCATGCATGCTAACTCTTTTTTCTTTTAATGTGCATAGTAAGAGTGTGACCTTTCCAAGTAGAGGTAAAGTTATGTGGGTAATTCACAGTAAATTTTCTCATAAATAATATTATTTTTCTCGGAAACACATGACCAATCTCTACTTTGTTGGTCATATAAATTTTCTTATCCAGAAATTTTCATTTTATTTTACATTTACCTTCAATTACTTTAAGTTTAAGTTTAAGTTCATGATCAAGTTCCTTTTCTTTTCTTTTCTTTTTATTTTATTTTTTTGGGAGGAATTGAGTGCTCTTCTTCACCTTACTACTAGACACTGATTGGTCTGGTTTAGAATGGGTACATCCATCCATCAAATTCAGACTTTGTACTTCCCAGTTTACTTTCTTTGCGTTCTGCATAGTGTGGGGACAAATGAAGGCTGCATATATATATATATATATATATATAATTGTTTCTGGTAGAGTAAGTGGAGAATTTCACCAACCCACTAGCAAATATTGACAAGGACAACGTTCATACACTTGAAATAAGACAATGCAAAAATTGTGTTGAGCTCCAATATTTTAGATTTTCCATACATATTTACAAGCACAAACAAAATTCATCATAATATGATTTTTTTTTAAAAAAAACAACCTATTTTGCATTGCCATTTAACTTTTCACATTATATCAATTTTGTCCGATTAATAATATTTGTTAAAAAATTAGATGATCATTTTAAATTGAATGTCAATTCTTTACTTCGAGAATAGTGAATAAATTATTTTGTCTATTGATTTCAACCCAATTTCTAATGAGCATTACCAATTGAACTATAGATTGACAAAATATGAAAGGGTTGAAAGTAAAATCGATGTAATTAGAACTATAGAAGTCAAATTGACACAAGAAACAAATTATACAAAATACAAGTATAATTTGTCATATATATACCCCTACTCTTTTTTTATTTATTTTTTAATTTTTTGATACATCAAGAAACAATTTATATTATCTATCCTAGAGGAGGGAGGGGTATTGGGAGAGGGGAGAGGGGAGAGGGGAGAGGGCTTAAACTCCTAACTTGATAAGAAATAGTACAAGATCTTAACCACTGAGCTATATGCCTTGCTCTGTCTAAGCTAAATTTTCCAATTCTGACATGCTAACCAATCATTTGAATTGACTTCATTTAATTTAGATCCCAAAAAATTGATCAATTTCTGGCCTCATCAACATCACCTGATGATGATCAGCTAAGGAGGTGGTGGAGGAGCCTAATTGTCCCACTTCATCATTATATTTTGCTGCAATAATATTGTTGCACTAGTGAATAAATTATTTTGTCTATTGATTTCAACCCAAGACAAAATATGAAAAGGTTGAAAGTAAAATCGATGTAACTAGAACTATAGAAGTCAAATTGACACAAGAAACAAATTATACAAAATACAAGTATAATTTGTCATATATATACCCCTACTCTTTTTTTATTTTTTTTTTAATTGTTTGATACATCAAGAAACAATTTATATTATCTATCCTAGAGGAGGGAGGGGTATTGGGAGAGGGGAGAGGGGAGAGGGGAGAGGGCTTAAACTCCTAACTTGATAAGTAGTAGTACAAGATCTTAACCACTGAGCTATATGCCTTGCTCTGTCTAAGCTAAATTTTCCAATTCTGACATGCTAACCAATCATTTGAATTGACTTCATTTAATTTAGATCCCAAAAAATTGATCAATTTCTGGCCTCATCAACATCACCTGATGATGATCAGCTAAGGAGGTGGTGGAGGAGCCTAATTGTCCCACTTCATCATTATATTTTGCTGCAATAATATTGTTGCACTGATCATCATCTTCTAGTCCAAGCTCATTTTCCAAGTATCTCAACCATTCAATTCCTATTCCCCTATTAGGATCATGATCATGATCATCAAGATCTTCTCCAAATAAGTTGGAGTCTTGGGAATTATGGGAAGCCTCAAACTCAAACTCTTGTGGTTGGGATTCATTGGACTCCAAGTTATCCAACATGTCCCAGAAATCAATATCAGACTCCTCCATGGGGATTTCAATCACTTCTTGTTGATGATCATCTGAATTCAAACTCATCTTCTGCTTATTCACTTCATCATACACCACCACCGCTGCTTTATCAACCTGATGAGAACAATTGGAGGAGGAAGAAGTTGATATTGCTTCTTTTGGTCCAGCACAATCACTAGCACTAGAACTAGTAGTAATTGATGAGATATCTTGATTCTTCGCTGACAGTAACACCTCCTTCTCCATATTGCATACTTGATGAGATTCATAATGAGTATGAGGCCTTAAATTAGATGACGATGAAGAAGAAGAATAAGAAGAAGAGGAAGATGGGGAAGAGCAAGAGCCTCTTGAATTCTTGTGATCATCATCTGCATCTTTCTTGATTAATCTTTTCTTCAAATGTGTATTCCACACATTCTTTATCTCATTGTCGGTTCTTCCTGGTAAATATGATGCAATTTTTGACCACCTACAAATTACAATTCATTCATTCATTACAAGTAATCATTAATTAATATTTGATCAAATAAATATCTAGCCAAAGAAATTAATTACTGATTAGTATGACTAGCCTAGCTACATACGTACTTGTTTCCCAAAGACTGATGTAGCTTAATAATGGTTTCCTCTTCTTCCTTGGTGAAATTTCCTCTCTTTAAATCTGGCCTTAGGTAATTAATCCACCTCAGTCGGCAACTCTTCCCACAACGCAACAATCCTTCAAAACAACAAACCAAATTAATCCACGCCAGCTTGATTTGGAAAACAAAAAAAATATATGAAATTTTTGTAAGTGCACAAAATTCATTTTGAATAGCACAGCACTTACACTCCACCAAGATGAAAGCAATATTGTCAATTTTTAAATTTTATGAACTTTTATGCAAAATTTATGTATTTAGCAATGACTATTAGTACTAAGGATCAGTAATCTTGTGAAAATTCTTTAGCATGGAACTATCATGCACTCAGCTCGTTTGGAATTTAAAATCATCGCACGGATATGAAAATGGGTTTTGAATCCTCTGTTTGTCTTCCCTGTCTCACCCTCTTAGTGCTGTACTTTATTAAAATTTGAATTAAAAACTGTTATTTTGAAGTTTTTAATTGTTAAAAAAAGTGAATAAGCTGTATTGAATTCAAATTGTGATGACATGATAACACTAGAAAAGTGAAATAAGAATTGAGATAAAAAATGAGAACACCGGCCGGAAAATGGTCACCGACTTACTCTACTCTACACGTGTTTACATCCGATCGGGCATAGAACAGAAATTTCATGTTGGATGTTGAACTACCACACCATGGAGCATATTGTTTAATGTTTTTGTTAATCTTATCTTCTTTAGTCTACAGTTTCTTTCCATCATTTGATTATTTTTTCATATTTCCAAGATTCAGTGGGTTTGAAAAACTTGTCCAGGTTAGGCACTTGCTGTCATTCTTTCCTTTTCATCAGTCTTTCTTTTTCTTACACTTTCTTATCATGAGTTGCATGAATCAGGAAAAAAAAAAAAAACCATTGAGGTTACTATAAGTATCATTGAGTATCAAGCTTTCAAAGTCAAACAAAACAAACAACAACTCGAACAAGTCAGAGCAATTGACTGGTCAACTACCAACAAGTCTATATGCCCCTAGTGGAATGGCTTTAATGATTGGATTCTCCAGTTTATTTCTTGGTGAAAATGCTACACCCAACAGTTTACTGAAAAAAATTTGTAATTATTATTATTATTATTATTATTATAAATTGATGTGACATTGTATTAATATTTGACACGCAACTTTACGTGTTTTGAAAGGAATACATTTAATAATTACCACATAAATTCAACGAGGAAAACGGCATACATATAATATAAAAAAAAAAATAGAAAAGAAGAAGACATGTGACGCAAATTACTTTAAAAAGGAGAATTTCTAATTATATTCACTGAATATCTCTCTGTATCTACCCACTCATATGTGAGAATTTATTATTAATGGCTAAAATTTGGGTATTTTTTGTCATAGCACTAATAGTGAAAGTAGATTCCTTTTGGCATTTATTTATGAATTTTATTGACAAGTAATTTAACGAACTTAGCATCTCCATCAAACTATTTACAATTTTATTATATTTTAACTTAAAAGTTAATTTTTCTATTTTAACTATATACTTTTTCAATATACTTTTCAATGAAGTCTCTATTCTTTGTCTATTTTATTCAAATATTATTTTTATTTTAAATTATCTTTTATAAACTTAACACACAACACACGTAACTCTAAAATAATAAAAATAATTTTTTTAATGTTTGACTAGACAAAACTACTAACTACATCTGTTGAGCTAAAATTATCAAAATTAAAATCGCTAACTTGGTAACTAATTTGATGGAGTTGAAATTTGGTGATTTATTCACTATTTTAGCTAAAAAATAAAAATAACTATTTTAATGGAGATACTCTTAAAAAGTTTGAAATAGTTACATAATATTTGTACATTCTTTATTTGATGGAATGAGGTTTCAGATACAATATCAGAAGAGCAAACATGTATAATGAAAGTGAACTCTCTGCAATATGGGATTGATGCAATTCAACTAAAAAATAAAATAAAATAATCCCAGAATTAGAAACTATTGAGGATGAATAATTTGGTATTCTAAAGTTTGATAGGAGGACAAAAAGAATCTATGAGGGGAAAAAAAAGATGTCTATATCTAATAAAATGTTTGAAGTTATATGCTGAGAAAATTTAAGAAAAAGAAAATCTACAATGCATGAAGAAGAATATCCCATCCCAATTCATACACCAACAGCAGTCACCATATTTATACACACACACATGTATATATATATATATAGAGAGAGAGAGAGAGAGAGAGAGAGAGAGAGGATGAGGAGGAGGAGGAGGAGGAGGAGAGACAAACCAGCAAGTTTAGGGAGAGAGCGCCAGTTGGTATGACCATGGTTGTGAATGAAAGTGAGGAGTCTAAAGTCCTCAGCAGGGCTCCATGGACCCTTCTTTACCTTGCTCTTGTCACAACATGGTGCTCTTCCTCTACCCATCACTGATATGATAATCTCTCAACTCTCTCTCCCTGTAAATTCTTTATCCTCTCCTCTCATATGTTAGGTTTCTTTATCACAAATATTCACAACACCCCCCCTCTCTCTATATATATATGTATATACAGAAGAGAGAGAAAGATGGAGAGAAACAGAGATGACATATCCAACAAGGGGTCTGCATGCCATGATTGTTTACGCAAATTTAATAAAAATGAAAAAGATATTTAATTGGAAAAAAGATTACTTCCATAAAAAAAAAAAAAAATTTATTCACCGCCATAATATAATATTATTACATTCTGGAGTGATTTGGAAAGTTAGCTAAAAATTAATTTTTAGATTTTAACTTATTTTAGATCATATCATCTCTCACATTTTCTACATACAAAAAGACAAAAATTAAAAAAAAAAATCAAAAAATTAATTTTTACCTAACTTTCCAAATCACTCCTCTCTATGACTATTGTAACAACAACAATCAGTAAATAATATATTATTTATTTTTTATTTTCGATTAGTAGAAGACAAATAGAAGAAGGTAAAAAAAGAAAATAGCACAATATACTAAAGAAACTCAAATTTAAACATTACAGGTGAGATCATCAAATCAATTAATTCTTATTAGTGATCATACAATTTGGACATTTTGTTAATCAATATGGGAGTGAAATCAGATCTCTTGTTTTGAATACTTATGACATCATTTACCCTTCTTATTACATCATCACATACCTCATCCACTTATATATGTTCTTATACATAAATATTAGCAATATGGCCCACTTATAAGTAAAAATAATGCAATGCTGTTATTAAGTATACAAAAATGATACACAAAGTAACATGACAACCCAATTGAAGATAATCATATTCCTAAATTAAAACTTACTACTATCAACTATTTAATTTTGAATCTTGTAATTATTTGTCTTTACATCGAGGAATCAATAAACAAATATTAAAAAGGTTAAGTGACAATAAATTCATCATCTTTCATACTCTCTCCGTCCCAAAATATTAGTCTCTTATTCCATTTTTCATTGTCCCAAAATATTAATCCCTCTTTAAAAATCAAGTACAAAAATAATATAAATTTCCTATTTTGTCCTTCTTTTAAATTAATAAACAATATAAAAAGTACAATTATGACATTGATATTCTCAAAAAATGTACCATCAAAAGGGTAATTTTAGAAAATTAACTTTTTTAAAGGACAATAATTGTACTACTAAAAAAAATTAAATTCTCCAAAAGGAACTATTATTTTGGGACCGAGGGAGTATATAATAAGAAGGGAATACATATTTGAATTGGGGACCTTTACTTGGGGATTTGCGCTTTCGAACATAAAAGTAATAGTTTAGTTTTGAGTCTGCTGCTTCACTTCACCCTTATACATTGAAACAGAGCAAATACGTGCGCCATGACTCATCCATTCTAATAGGCATAGCCTTTGTTTGTTATATGCTCTATTTGGTCCGTTTGTTTGGCCTAATTTCTATTTACAATTTATAAGATAAAAATAATTTTTTTTTTTTTAAATGAATATTGAGAAGCTACTAGAGGAGGTATTAAAAAAATGAATATTTTTAACTTATTAAAAGCTAGTTCAAGATTAGTTCGTTATATAAACAAATTAAATTTGAATAGATTTTGAAACTCGTTAAAATTTTAAACCAAGTATGAATAATTTATTACTCGGCTTGACTTAGCTCATTTACAACCTTAATCTCCCAACATTAAATCTCATCATGAAATCCACTTATGAAAACTAAACAGTTCAACTAGTGATAAGTCACGCTCTTGTAAAGCACACTTCACATATTTTCGTGCAAATAAGGCCAAGTTTGGCATCTTCCAAAAAATTCAAAAAGTCAAAAAGTCACTATCCTATTTAAGTCACATCATCTTATTTAAGTCACAACACCTCTCTAACACATCACTTCAAACCCAACCCAAATCCAACCCATATTTCATAAAAAGTCAAAAAGTGCACTTATTTAATCTTTCCAAACTTGGCCTTAAATCATTTTCATACTTCATAAATGAGGACTATGTTTTGGGTTTTATTATATATGCAATTAGTAGAATGTTGGTTAGATTCATGGCGTGGATGTCCACGGTTGCGGCCATGCCCATGTCAAAGCACCAATAATGGTGACAAGAATTTGTACATAGTCAAGTGATTTAGGTGAGCAGCTCATATTAGTGGCCCTTTGAATATTATTAAAATTGACACAAACCTTATTATAAAATAATTTAATAATAATATACCCACATATATACGCCTAACCCATGCACCATGCAGTCCTACCAAGTCTCACAAGTCCAACCCTCATTTAAAATCAACACCCATATGATCATATAATACCAATTAATCTCTCCTTAAGTCATCAGTTAGGGAAACCAAACATTTAAAGCCTTTTACTAATTTGTTACCTAATTTTTGAAATCTTCCTTTTGGGGTTAGTAGAGTTTCACTAACCATGTATGACTAATACCAGTCTATAGAGAGAGTAGATAACATATGCATGACATGTTTCTGATATGATAAATATTATTCATATTGAATTGATTTATAGAATTTGTTATCAAAATAATGTGACGGTGATATTTTCATAATTAAATATCTTTTAAATAAGCAATTTATTTTAAGGGAGAGGCTTTCAGTTATAGACTAAACCGTATTGTTTACAGTTGTGGGACCCATCTTTGGTCACACTTTGATTATTTATTTTGTTTATTTATTAGTTTTTGTGTATAAATTATAAAAATAAGTTAATTAATTAAACTCGAATAATTACAACCTCATGATTTCATTGTCTTTATTATATAACGTATTCTAAACCATATACATGTTGTTGTTCATTTTCATTTCAAATAAATATAGTTTAATAACATAAGTAAAATTATCAAATTGATATAATTTTTTTATGAATAATTGTCACGACTCAAACCCGCCCCTATAGGTTTAGCATCGTAACCAGCCAATAATCCGTGATTACCGAAGGCCTGCTTAACAGTCAAACAATAATACAGAGTACAGGGGCATGGCGGAAGCCAAAACAGTAAATAGACAATGTCCAATGAGCTGTGATAGTCTGTATGCAAAAAGACTTTTCATATACACATGTACAATCAGCACCAAAACAGTATGTACAATATATACAATCATTCAGGAACAGGGACTTAATCCCTATTAGAACAGTACAGTGCAACAACATTCAGTCTAAACAGTAGTTACATAATAGATACAAAAAGGGGGAAACTAAAACACCCCAAAAGCCCTAGCTTGACAAGCTCGGAACCTCGCAGTGAGGCACAGTGGTTGGCTTCAACAAAAGGAAGTCTAACCCACGCTCCTAGCTCCGGTCTGGTGCCTGAACACCTACATATATATATGAGCAGTAAGCTAAAGTCCAGTGAATAACATAATGTGTAAAGGGGTTAAGAATGAATGTCCTTTCAGTATTAAAAACAGTCAATTGATTCAGTGTATCAGTTATTCAGTCATAGCAGTCATATGTGGTACATCCAATAGCAGAACAGTACAGTAAACAGTAGGTCTTGAAAAACCGAGCAGTCAATGATGGCCATCAGTAATGGTTCCAAACATGGGAACCGACAAAGATCTCTGTAACAGTAGCAGTAACAGTAACAGCAGTTGCTAAGGATGCTACAATACAGTTCAGAATAGAGGACAAACATTCATTCAGTTAACAATAAACAGTTCAGAAAACAATTCAATCGATCATTCAGAAAATATTCATTTTCGAACATATCTTTACAACATTGTTACTCACAGATTTCTGGGCTACAGGTAAGCTAGAGCGCGTCTCCAGATGCCAACCCTACACAGTTACAGAGTGAACACACACTAAGCTACACAGTTGGGAAAAAATAGTAACTTAATCCCTATCTTGACTCGGTGTGGTTCAATATCAATATCCTCATCAAGATGCCTTAAACAAGGCCTAAGAATGCCAAGAATGAAATGAGGATGCAAAGATGTACTTAGAAAATATTTTCAGAGTTTTCAGAAAACAGGGGTCTCGCTCGAGCGTGGGATTCCCCGCTCGAGCAGACATGCAAACAAAAGCCTCCGCTCGAGCGTAAACTTTCCCGCTCGAGCGTACTAAAAAAGTACTGGATGTGTGAAAATCATGCTCGATTGGGCGCTCGATACCCGCTCGAGCATGTGATACAAGTCCTCGCTCGAGCGTGAAAAACCCCGCTCGAGCGAACTGTAAAGCAGTACAAAATGCTGGATGCACGAATTTCACGCTCGAACACCAGACACTCCGCTCGAGCGTGAGTCCAAAATCTGGAAATTCCAGATTCGAACCCCAAGCTCAAAAACAAGTTTTAATGTACCAAATTCGATCCTTTTCGGCTAATTTTCTGGAAAACACTTCAAAACTCATAATATAACATGTTTCAAAGGTCAATTTGAGAAATCAAAACCCAAAGGTAGTTCAATTAAACTTAATTTCAAACCAAACTTTCAAGAACATGATAAACATGTACATGCATGAATTTAAACACTTCAAAGCTTCAAATGCTAGCTCAACTGAGCCAATTCTTTTCAAAACAAGATAAATTCATGGTCCTTAGCAAAAATATGAACATGCATGTGACAATTTTCCATGAAGACAACTTTAAACTCATCAATATAGGTATGCATGCATGAAATGAGCTTCAATTCAACATATATAATCAATTCTAGACTTTAACTCACTAAATTTCCATGATTCATGAAAATACAACTTAAATACATAAACCAAGGGATAGAATCTCTACCTTAGGTCTCCAATCACAAGTCTAGAGGCTCAATTTGGCAAATTCTCTAACAATTCTTCAAGTCACCAAGACAAAATTGTTGAAATCACTCTTTTCCTCTCACTCTCTCTCTCTAGTCGGCTAGCTCTCAAAGAAAGGCTGATGAAATGATATGCAATGTATGTGACCAAGTCTCACAAGTGCCTAGCAAGTGGCCCACTAGGATGGCAAATTGGTAATTAAGCCAACTATTGCAATTTATCAATATTTATCCTAATTTAATCGTACTGAATCACATTTCAGATAAATATGCCATAAAATCCCATTAATTCTAACTAACACAAATCAACAATCAATTTCAGATTCGGCCGCCGATAAGGCCTTCAATTTGCAG